CATAGCACAGGGGAAGCCAAAGCCAATGTAATTCTGGATTGCTCACTTTTTCTCCCAGCAGGATGTGTGAACAACTGCCAAGTAAGACAATGGAGCTATTATTATTATTATTATTATTACTTGTGGTGCTGGGTATTGAACTCAGGGCCTGCTAGGTAAGCACTTACCACTGAGCTACATCCCCAGCCCAGACAATAGGATTATAAACTGAGGTGGGGCTTAGCATTGTGCTATGAAGGAAAATGAATACATTTTAGTATAACTGCTGGGGCTCTTAGTCTGAAGAGACTGGCCTGGGATTCTCTGGGCCCAGGTCTTATTGAATTTCCCCATGGAGGGAGAGAGGAATCCATATTTCGCATTCAAGACAACTTCAGAGCATGCTGTTGTGTTGAATACCTTTTGGTGGAACTCTGGCATAGTGATCAAATTATTGAGTCAGGTACACCTAGACCAGACTCCTCCTTCTATTGTCTAGTAGCTGTTTGATTGTAAGAAAATTATCTAATGACTTAGCTTCAGTTTTCTCACTTGTAAAATAGGAGTAACTGTAGTACTTATGTAATAGAGTTATAAAGATTAAATAAGAGAGTGTATGTAAATGTGAGAGCTCCTCGGGAGAGAGAAATGCTCAATTCATATTAATCACTATTGTTTTATTTTACTCTTTTCTTTAGGGTATTTAAATGCCATGATTTTCTAAAGTACATTTATGGAGTTGATAAATCATCACTAAAATTCAAATTTTGAATCCACTTCTACAAGAAGAAGTATATATTTGTAAGTCATGTTCTGTTCTCATACACAACCCCTGGTCTACCAGGAATCTATTTTCTGTTTGTATAGATTTGTCTTTCCTGGACATTTATTATAAATAGATTCATACATATGCAGTCTTTTGTGTCTAGCGTTTTTCACTTAGTATTATGACTCGGTGGTTCATCTATTTTGCAGCATGATCAATACTTCTGTTTCTCTTTGTTACTGAGCAGCATTCCATTGTTACAAGTGTACCATATTTTGTCCATCCTTTTGCCACATGGTGGGCATTTCGATGGTTACCACATTTGAGCTATTGTGAATAACGCTCCTGTGAACATTTGTGTATAAGCCTTTGTGTGGGCAGACTGATACATCATTTTCCAGTTCTGAAAATCTAAACATCTATGAAACCTTGAACTTGTGAACAGAATAACTGCTGGATCTAGCTTTGGCTCATATCCTTGGGGAGTAACTACATTTCTGTCAGAATGTTTTGAAGAAGCACATTGAACTGTAACCAACATAGAATTTATCTTTTTAATTAAAAAAGAGAAAAAAGTGATTTTAATGAAATACTGTGGTTAAAAGTAGATTAGGAATTAGGTTCAGTTTTTGAATTTTAATTAAACATTTTAAGAAGAATTAGACTCGCATGTAATGGCTGCCATATTGCCCAATTGCAAGGGCATCCTTTCACTGGAGTTGTACGTCCAGGTGTGCATTCATATGGTGTATAAGACTGGCATTAGTATTAGAGTTGTACGTCCAGGTGTGCATTCATATGGTGTATAAGACATGTAGAACTGTGTGTGTGTGTGTATGGCTGTACTTCTAGTCTTCTTGAATCTAGAAGCAAGGCCTGTTCTATTTCTCCAAGCCAAGTCAGAAATAGAGCTGAGTCTGGGATATCACTCTGCATACAGCTGCAGCTCCAAACTCCGGGGAATCCTAGCTAGGGGCTTATTTTAAGTCAAGGAAATCTTAGCCTAGAATTGCAGATGGTGCCCTTAAAGAGCTGACGGGACAGACTGGAAACATACTGTCTCTGCTCTGGAGAGGGAGTAGATGCCCCAGTCTCCTTGAGGCTCTGACTTTGTGGATTTGTTCTAGCCTTGGGAGGGTACACATTGCTTAGATAGAAATGGGGTAGACCTGTTGGTCAAGTTTTGGGTTGAGAGAAGCCAAATGGGACATATGTCTTATTGGAATGTATGTGTTCTTGTATCCTTCCCCTGAAAGAATTGGGCTGAACCCTCACAGCAGAGAGTTGTGGAAAATTAGAGATGTTCTGTGGAAAGACCAAGTTAATGTTCAAGTTTCAGAATCTGATCTTAGGTCAAATATCTTTTGCTTTTGCCAGTAAAAAGAGCCCAGATGTTTTTCTATTTACTTAGGCAAACCCTTGAAACACAAGTTAGCGATATAAAACTTTACATTTGCAGTGTTAAGAGGCCATATTTGGAAAGTCACAGGCATGAAATATATACTGTGAAATGGGAGGTCAGGCTGGTGAACTCATTTCAGAACTATAGTTTTTGACTCAAGAATTTTGATGGGGTCTTCACGTTGGTTGAGCTTCTTGGTCCTAATATCATTGAGAGAATTAAATCATGATATTAAAACACTGAAACACTAATGCTTTGTTTTTATTGGCAAAAACCAAAATGATCTAATACTAATGCCATGAAACATCAGTCACTTTTTTTCCTGATGAATAAGATGAACTTTGGCTGCTTATGATAGTAAATTTAATAATGTCAGTGATTTGAACTGTTTCAATTCTAAATGTGCAGCAATCCCCCCACCCCCCTGCAACGCACTGTCAGGAAGTTTTGTGGCAAATGAGCCCAAATACATCGATGAGAACATATCACTCACATGAGCCATGTGTATGCCCAGCCGAGCACCCACTGCTGGGCTTGTTCTCACAGGTGGTCTGAATTTGCTTCTAGCTGGTTCTGTAAGCAGATTTAATATTTCATAAGCACTGCTCCATCTCATGCCTCCATTATTGACACCACATGGAAGTCAGGAAATTGGTTCTTTCTGGGAACAGTTTGCAGAAATATGCAGCCTGTCAGCCCCTTTCTCCTGGTGCATTCACAGAGAGGCTCACGATTACAAGCCCTGAACCTTCTCCAGATGTGTGCCGCAGCTCAGCTCCAGCTTTATCTTCAGCCCTGAAGATGGACTTGACAAGACGGATTATTTGTGGCCGTCTTGTAATAGCTTTGTGGAATTGGAATTCCCAGCGATTGTAATGGAGGGTCAGGAACGAGGAGCCAAGGAATGGAGAGTTTCTCCTTGCAGTGAACAATACAGAAGACCAACAGTAATAAAAAGAGCAAATCAGCTGTGGCATTTTCTAACTGTGGATACTGGTTCTTCCAGACTGTTCTAATTCTTTCCCTTTTATGATTCTGTTTATGTTATACACATTAAAGTTAAGTCATGTCTTTAATAAGATGGAAACTGGAAGTGAGATTTGGAAATGACTGAATCAGGCTTCTTAACTTTTTTTTTTTTCCTCTTGGAGAGCACGAAACAACTGACAGAAATGGATATACCAAAGAAAACAATTTTAATTGTCGGCTTCCATGGAAAATTCAATCCAGTCCTTCATTCATTCTCTCCCCAGTGCAGTGCCAGCAGACTTTTTCTATATGGCTAAGGCCTTCATTTAGCTGACAAATTTCTGAAGGGTAACTAAGTTTCTCAAAGAAAATTTCTAGCAATAAATGATGCATATGCTCTCCTGTCACAAAAGACAGATTTTTCCCGGATAAAGCAATTGAGGGTAAATTTCCCTTGCATTATATTCACAGTGACGATTTCAAGGGAGTATGCTTTTAAAACAAGGCTGTATTCAAATATTTCATTTAAAACACAAGTCCTGAGTTGATAGTTATAAAATTGGATTCCTTTGGGAGTTATTTTCACATCTTCAAGGCTAACACTCTTAGTTGTTTGATGTAGATGTTCTAGATAAAATTCCTCAAGTCCAGCTGTTTTGATTTAGCTTAATATGTTTGTACAGAGGGATTTCCTTTGTCATTGAAGAGATGGAATCAAAGCAGAATTAGTCATTGTTGCATCTTCTATTTATAGCCCTGCTATTATTCAGATGCACTGTAGAAAAATGATGTGGACAAGAATTTTCTTCTTTCCTTTATTTTTCTGTAAACAAAACTCTTTTTATACCCTGTGGACTTGAGTTTGGTTGCTTAGACAGACAAAGCACTGAATAAAAATATTACTACTTAAATGAAAAATTACCTATTAGGTCATGTCATCTCTATTTGCCAGTTAAAGGTCTGTCAGTACAAAGTATGTGGGATGGCCGGAAGTCATGGATGACTTACATGGAGTGGCAGGGGTTGAAAAGGTCAATTTGAAAAATTGTTTGTGTGGGTCACTCATGACTAATCATCCAAACCTTGAGCGTCTATAAACAAAGTCCTACCCTATTTATTTATCTTAATGCCAGCACTAAAATTAGCTGAAAATTAGTGAGAGTTATAATTTAAGGCATTTTTATTTGGGGAAATATTAATTTATTGTTTTTGAAAGTGATGGGGTAGGGTAGAAAGGATGGCTGTACTGGGACAAGTGAAGCAGTTAGATAGACTGGCAAGATGAACTGGTTGAGGGAACTCCCTGGGACATTTAGTTTTCTTATTTTTTCTTTCTTTTATGTTTTGGTAAAGAGATGACTTTAGAGAGATCTAGAATAGCTTTCTGGGTGGAAGAAGATAAGAAGCAATATTCTAGCTTTTTACAGACCTGATCTATGTGGTAATCAAGTATGTCAACCCAAAGGCAAGTTGAGGTACATTGGATATGAGAATAAAAAGTTTGAGTCAAAGTGAGATGGACACCCTGGCAAAATATGAATTCTAGCTGCCCAGAATAAGTGCTTGGGAAATGACATCCCAGGGATCTGGTTTTATAGATTAAAAGAAGAGCAAGAAGGAAATTACAGCAAAGCCATTGTTACTACAGTACAATATTGGTTGACAAAAATAGCACAGGTTGTTGACTTGTTGTCTCTTACTTTGTATTGTCCATTGCAGGTAAGAACTGCATTCTCCAAGATATTTACTCCTCTGCTGGGATCAGTGTGTCTACATGGAGCTAAGGTCAAGTGGTTAAGGGATAAGTTAACCTGATATGAGGCTTTGGAATTCAGGATGAGGTGACTTCTGCCAGGTCCATAACCCGTGCCTGCCAGGCTTGATAGACATCTGTAGATCCCTTTCTTTTATTTATGCTTTTAGGCAGAAGTAATTAAGTAGGATGAAGTATGGGAAAAATGCTTTCTATATTCTGAAATTCTCTGCTAGTATTACTCACTGCAGCATCAGAAGCAGCAGTCTATGTCACGCAGTATCCCTCCAGCTGGTATTTCCTGAGTTACAGGAACTGAATCAAAATGTAATTGGACAAGAGCAAATCAAAAGTGGAAATAAAGAAGAGAAGGTAGACAATTAGTGTCCTCCATCTAAAAGTTTCCTATTAGTGGGATCAAGTCAGTAGATGGCTTATTTTCACTAGTAACAGCATGTAAAAGATTTGCTGGGCATAAATCAGGCATTCCAGAAACATAGTCTTGAAGTTTTATTCTTTTAAGGAGGTTGACAACCAGGTAAATTAATGAATGACTGGCAGGTGTTGAATTTGAATATCACCCTTGATAGTTGTACAGAGGAGTGACTCTTTGTTTCCTATCCATGCTGGGCATGCATTAGGGGTCCCACTGTGTAATGGTTGATACATTGTGTCAACTTGAGAAGTCTAGAAGCTTAAGTAAGTGACTCAGCAGTTTTATACCCTAGTGTGTAGAGGGCATGCCCTTACCTTTCTAGGATGTTGTTCATTGCGTCAAGTTGAGAAGTATAAAAGTTTAACTGAGTGACTCAGCAGGGGGGTAGGGTCTTCACTTTGTAAATACCCTAGGAGAGCAGGGAGATGGTGTGAGTTGTATACTCACCCAAGGGCGGGTAACCTGCATACAATATAAGGGAGGAAAAGAGGCTTGCTCTCTGTTTTTTTTTTTTGTTCTTGGTGCTTTTGCTGTCTTCTGTTGCCCCAATGTCATGCCACCCTGCCTTGGAGCCATCTGATTATGGACTAAAATCTCCACAAACTGTAAGCTGATAAACTTTCCCTTCCTTAATTATGGGCATCGGGTATTTTGTCTCAGCAATGAAAGAAAAGTAACCAAGATACATTGTTTTGCACATCTATTAAAGTAGCCTTCAGAAGGACCAAAAAAATCATATAGATCCAATGTATAAGTATGAAATGTCTGAACAAAAGACCAAAACTACCCTCCTAACAACAGATCAGATATCTAGCCCAGCCCTAGGCAGTGTGGCTTCTTGATGATCTTCAAAGGGGATTCAATCTTTGGTACCCAGAGGGTAGGTGAAACATTGAGGCTTCACAAGAAGGTAGGATCAAGATTCCTCTGTCTCTCACAAGCTAATCTTTCCAATTATTGTGGGATAGTTGGGAGATGAGTAGAAGCACAAGGAAACCTGTTACATTAACTAGAGGACAAGCAGGAGAAATCTCTGTGACTAGTGTGGTGTGCCTCATTCTTCATGAGATGATAGCTAGTCTAGAACTAGAGGTGAAGGCTTAGTGATAACTAAATCTCAAATCCATGGAATCCAGGGAAAGTATATCAGACAGGCAGTAGTAACAAAGCAAAGCAAAGCTTTCTTCAACCCCATGTAGTGGGAGATCCAAGAGGATCTGGGCTTAGGGGTTTGGGATGTCATGAGAAAAAGGACATGGAAATGATCAGGTCTTGGGATTCTTGGAAGAGTGTCATGTGGACTGTGATATGGTCCGAGGTAGCCTATCATTAGTCGCAAAGGTGTAATCCTTTACTGATCAAGTCACTATATCTATGACTCTTAGGCTGTTGGAAGGCTTTAATGTGGTGAGTGGAAGCCAACAGCAGAGATCCCTGGAGAGCAGCAATGCTCATAGGTCTAAGGTAGCATCCTCTTGATTGAGGACCTGTCTGGAGGCCTGAAGGAAGAGTGACAAATCCAGGCCCCTGTGGGAAGTGGCTGGTGAAGGATAGGTCAGCTGTAGGTACCCAATCAAGAGTGTGCCTCATAGCAGGAAGAAGTAAGACTCTGAGAAGAAAGCAAAGTCACATAGATTGTGTAGTGTTTCAACAGGGCTTGCCAAGGAGACTGCAATGAACACAAATGTAGTTCCAGTAGCTCCCTTCAAAGGTATGGGACATTGTGCCACAGCATCAATTGAATCCTCAACCTTATATGCTGATGGGAGCAGAGCTTCTGATAGATCACCGTACTGTGGGGTTAGAACTGGCTCAGGGCTGAATATGCATGTTAAATCTTTAACACTTTTAGGTGGATGGAGTTAGAGTAGTGTAATGGTTGATAGATTGTGTCAATTTGATAAGTATAGAAATTTAACTCAACAGGGAGCTAGGGTCCTTACTTTGTAAACATCCTGAGCTTGTGGAAGTAGAAGGCATGGAGATGGTATGGGTGTAAAAGACCCAACCCCGCAGGGAGGATAGCCTGCATACAACATAAGGGAGGGAAAGAGTCTTGCTTCTCCTCCCTTTTGCTTTTGTTGCCTTTGCTGTCTTTGGCGGCCTTGGACTGCTGCCCCGGTGCCACACCACCCTGCCTTGGAGCCAGCTGATTACAGACTGAAACCTCCATGAACTGTGAGCTAAATAAACCTTTCCTTCCTTAATTTTGGGCATTGGATATTTTGTCTCAGCAATGAAAGAAAAGTAACTAAGACAGGTAGGTACTCTCCTTAAAGGTAATAAAAGATGTTAGGGATGTAGAGCAGCTAGTATTAATGGAAAAAAAAACATTGGAGTATTATCAAGTTCATGTTTGTGATATTTCTGAGCAGCTCAAATCATGAGGATCATGAGTTACTTATTCTATGAAAAATATGTGTTGGACCAAAAACCAGAACACTTGGTGATAAGTATGGACATACTAATAAGACTACTTGATATGATACTCCCAATCAGGATTGTTGTGGTAACTAGCAGACCATATGGTCACAAGGCAAAATCTTACATTAAAGGAATTATCTCTGTACAAGAAGAAGAAAGAATACATAAACAGGAGCAATAGAGGCTATGTGTGAGAGGCACTTACCAGAGGAACTTATGAAAGGGAGAGAGATTGCCTAATGCAGCAATCAGGGAAAACTTCATAAAGGCAGTTGCACATAATTGGGTTGTGGTTTTGTGGTTGTGCAGGATTTGAACACGGAGCTATTATAATGAGGGTCTTTCAGGCAGAGATACAAGATGAAACCCAGAAGTTCGGAAGCAAAAATTGTAGGACACACAGGGAAAGCAGATTTTCTGGTTTTGAAGATGACATTGAATGGTAGATATTGGTGACAGGCATTGGGCACTTTAAGGTGTGCTGGAAGATAAAGATGAAACATGTCAAGAATGAAGACATATATTTGGGAGATGCAGACTTAACCTAAATTAATTTAGAGTGTCTACT